TTCTCGTCTCAGGCTCCCAGACTGCTGAGATTACAGATACACACTATTCTACCCACTCTTAATTTATTGATAATGCAATTATTTTGAACTGTATGTTAAATCTTTTCTGAAGTGCTTGGGACAAGACAGATTTCAGATTTATTTTGGATTTGGGGCACTGGCATACACATAATAAGACATCATGGGGATAGGATCTAAATCTAAATACAAAATTTGTTTCATTTACCTTATACACATAGCCTAAATACAACTTTGTACAAATTGTTGTGCACCTTGTCTTGACTGTAATGCATCACATGAGCTCAGCTGTGGAATTTTCCACTTGTACGGTGTCATGTTAGTGTTTGAAATTTCAGATTATGGGCCATTCCAGCTATTTTGATTAAGTATGCTCAACCTGTGTATGTTTAGTTAATTGTGATACGTGTAATCTTTGTAGGTAAAATTTTCCAATATGATATGAGTTACTGTTTTGTGGAATTTTACCTGTCAGTTTTCTGGGTTTGAAGTACATTGCTCTACAGGTGATTTGTATTTGCTTCTTCCAGGTTCTTAAAGCTACTACCAGGCAAAGATAATTTTACATTTTCTGGCTGGGTTTCCCTACCTACCCCTAAAATCACAGGAGTGATATGAACTCTGTCTTTAAATTTATGTAAAAACAAGCCTGTTACGTATCATCAGGGAAGACTTTTTTTCCTCCAATTTATACCCCTTTCACCCAAAGCCAAGCACATACCCCACTACCAAACTCTGAGGACCTGCTTATTAAATTCCTTGTTCACCCATAGGTTTGTACTTTGAGGATTTAGGAATTATGCTGTAGTGCTTGGGATAAATGTTCTAAATGGACTCGGAACAAGGATAACTTTCAACATCACCTTTCTAAACCTCTAGCACATAAAGTTAAAACCTCGCTACAGGTTAGCAGGGGAACAGTTGACAACTATTACTTCAAAGCAAACATCTGTATATTATTTTATCATTTGGCATTCACTTTTTTTTTGGTGTTTATAGCCTTGAGGAATTTCCTTATCAAGCTCAGTCATAGCTGTTAGGCATTTCTCTCACTCACTGGTCAGCCAGATGGCTCTTGCTTCTATTCCTTTAACACGTTCATGTTGGGGCCATAATTCATGTTTTACCAGGTGCCTCTAAACCACTAGGGGTACAAGCCAGTGAGAATGTGTTAAACTGAGGGTTAAGATCATTCACTGAGGCTGAAAGGGAAAAGGGGGTTTACTAGACATTGTAAAAGGTTTGAAAGATGAAAATGGAAAAGTAAGTTAGAGAAGCACCAAATAAAGAAGAAATGGTATCCAGTAAAGTTCACGGCATAGGAAGATTTACTCAACAAGACTTTTTAGTACCTTAGCTGTATAGTAGTCTCAGTATCTGACACATATCAGCCATGTAACCCTAGGCAAATCATAGCCCTTTTCTATTTCATTGGAATTGAGAAGATAAACATTATGATGTTTTACAAATATTAATTCATAAAATGTAAGGCATTACAATCATGACTTTTGTGGTAGATACATATCTGAAACTCTGGCTTCACAGATTTAGCCTGCACACATTAGACTGTTAAAATATTTTCTAGATTTTGGTGTTTTCAGATTGTCATTCATTGTTGTTCTAGTTGCTATGAGATAAAACTATTGTAAACCAACTTATTGTCAATTTTAGGTGGGAAAAAATGTGAGAAATCACAGAATATAATAAAACTAACATATCTGTAAACTGAATTGAATGTTAAACTTCAGTATTTATAAGAGTAAATCCACTGGCAGTGACAATTGTGGAAGGCACAATTGTAACAGCTAAGATTTTCAATTTTCTTAACTGTTTTTGCAGTTACTAAATTACTGTATTTTGTCCTGGTTAAGCAACTGCCATTTGTAATAAAAAAAATTCCAAGAAAAAAACATCATTATGGGCCTCGATGAACTGATTTGGGCATGCACCATAATGCTCCAAAGATGGCATACTAACTCATTTGACATTCTTTTATGTGGCTAATGGTGGATAGCTTCAGTTTTACCAGACTGTTTTAAAGACTGAAGTCTGCTCTGATCAAAGTATAGGAGTGTGACCCCCTTTTCTGGTAAAGTTCATGTTCTACTCATCCTGCCAGAAAAAGTTTAACACATGCTTTTAGATTAGTAGACAGTTCTTTTCCTTCCAACGATCTGCTTCTAGGAGGTTGAGTATGAGAAGCTGAAAAGCCTAATTGTTTCAGAAAGGGCTACTTCCCCTTATCTCAATTCCATTCCAGTGCAGTCACCAAGAGTGGGTTAGGCAGTTCTTAACTTTTCAAAAACAGTTTTGGAAGACCCACCAAATTGTGTTCAAAGTAGTAATAATTACTTTACTATTTTTTATATTGGCCCATGATTCTTTATGACCAAGCCCTTAAAGTTAAAAAGTTAATTAGTGAAAATGGATACAACAAAGGTTTCAAATAAGTCAAGGGTAAAATGGAATTGTTATTTAATATGACAGTAGACAAGGCTTTGGGTTAAAAAAATCAGTCAAGTTTTGTATTTGTCAACAGACTTTTCCTCTCACTCTCCTATAACAGGAACTTATTGGGGAAAATTTCACTAATTCAGAGGTCTCAATGGGAAAGATACTTCCATTACATGGAACTGATACAAAAATATCGAATTTAAATAATGTACCTTTACATACAAATTCCTGTGAATTTTCTCTAACCGGGATACAGTTTTAAAGATATTTCTTTTTAAGTGTTTTTCCAAAGAGTTGAAAATTTATTCTAAGTACTTTTTATGTTGTACTGTTAGTCTGATTGTAAAAGACAAAAATACGTAAATAACTCACATCCTTTTTAGGAGATACTACAAAAAAAAAAGAGCTTTAGTCCAGCTTTGCAAATTTTATTTTCTAGGTTAACTGTTTTTCAAAAAAGCACATCACACACACAGGTTTCATTAATAGGGAGATTTTAAAATTTTTATTTATTTTTTGAGAGAGGGTTTTACTGTGTAGTTCAGTCTGGTCTAGAACTCAAGGCATTTATTCTGCGTCAGCCTCCCATATTCGGGATTACAGGCATGTGCTACCACACCAGGCAATCAGGAGACTTTTAGACTTTAAATTCTTCCTTACTAGTATGGAATATTAGCAATAAAAAGCCTAAAATCTCAACCTAGATATTCTGTATTTTATGCTGTAAATGTAGACTTTTTATAATTTCGAGCTTAAAATACAGATGATTTTTTTTTCTCTATTGTGACAGAACACTTTACTTGGGAGAGGTACTGGCAGGTACAAAGTACAAGGGAATCATGGAAGGGCCCTTTGGAAATGCTTTATAAGACTGTGCACTTTATATATGTGTTATATCTCAAGAAGCAAAGAGTGTTTAGTCCTTTTATGAAATGCCCACCACATATGTTAGAGTGAATCATTAACATGATTTTGTAAGTCAAAACATACAGGGCCAAGAAATTATCTGATGCTCATAGCAAATGGACTGCTAGTCACTGCAGGTAAATTACCTATTTGAAGGTAGAATAAGGCTTCCTTGATGAGGAGTCATTATCAGAAATGAAGGCAGGAAGAACACAATTTATCAGGCGAAGTATAAAGAAGTGTTACAATAGCTTAACAACTAGTAGATTGGAACATCCTCAAACGAGACATGATTATCATATAGTTACTTGATTTATGATTACTCATGTCTTTTATTTCTGCATCTTATTGTTTGGGTTTTTGTTGTCATACTGCTTGGCATTCCAAAGGATGGAGAAGAAAAAAAAAATAACGTTAATGAGTTTTGTTACTTAACTGTTGTTTTTAGTGTGCTAAATAGCCGAAGTTATGACTATGTGATTTAAAAATTACGCATTATTTCCTATTAAGGGAGAGAGTTGGTTTACAGAAGAAATATAAATACGTACTGGGCCTCAAATGTTATTTACTTTTGCTTGAAATTGTTGATTCTCATCACCTCCAAAAGCCTTTGAGAGGATTAGCTGCATAGACCCAATATTGTTCTATATTAGTATTAAGTATGATGTCACCTTGTTTCCTCCCCTCGAGCTTCTCTTTTGAGTGAAAGGGGGACTTTTTGTGTGCAATCTCAAAATAGTGGCTTTAATACCACTAGCTGACATACATGATCGACAACCTGCGACTCCCAAACCTGTTTGAAATGGGTCAAATACCTAAGCGCTGCAGAACAATGCAACCCGACCAGCAATTCCCCATAAAAGAGAAAGGGGGTGTGATTAGGTTCCAGCTATTAAGCAAGTTATTGCAAAAACAGTTTGCACAGGTTAAGCTAGCTATGTTTCTCTCTTAATGAGTTAAAAAAAAGGTTACTCTGCACGAAGTAGAATAAATCACTAAAGCACGAAACAACTGGGGCAAACATTTAAAGGCTGGATGGAGGTCCCTATGGTGACCCGCAGCATTGGTTATCGATCGTTAACCCTGCCGGGGAACTATCGAACGGAATTTGTGCGAGGCTTATCGAGCCACAGGAAGGGAGATACAGGAGGGAATCTAAGCTTCTAATAAAAGAAACGCAGCAACAATAGCAGGGGAACAGCTCTGCCTGGTGACGTAATGGCTGGCAGCGGTCCAGCTTCAGCAGGGTTGCTGCTACCTCAGCATCCAACCTCCCTCAACACAGTTCGGCTTCAGCTGAGCTACTAGGGCTGCCACTTCTTCCGATGCCACTTTTTTGGGGGGTCACCAACACGCCTTACCTTAGAGGGCCAGCACGCTGAACAAAGGGGGGCCCGGCTGTTTTAAGTTGACAGGGTGCACATAACTCCCACACTCCCCCAACCCGGCTCAGTCATCGAGTCAACCTGGGGCTCAAGTTTGGGCTGAAGACACCGGCGCGTGCTTCGCCTCAGTTTCCCCCGGGTGGTCTCGAGTCCGCCTCCCACTGCACCTCCTCTTTCCCGATCCTCAGCGGGAGTTGATCGACCGGGCGGCCCGCTCACCCGGTCCTCCCGCCTTACCTCCGCCAGGTAGAGGTTGAGCAGACAGAGCGTGGAGAACTGCAGGCAGGAGGGGAAGCAGTAGAGCAGCCAATGCGGGAAGAAGTGCAGGTGAGAGGGCGGCCGGAGCAGGGGCAGCGAGCCGCTGAGTGAGAAGGCGGCGG